GTCAAGTCTGGACTCGCCGCGCGCGGGCTTCAAGTCCGAGACCTCCCGGAACCACCACGGGAGGATCAAAAGGGTGATGGTGCGGTGAACGGAGCGCACGCGGAGGTTGGAGGCGGGACGCACGCTCGGGGCTATTGGTATTCATGGTGGATCGCAAATAGAGTGCGCTGTAGACATGATTGATTGCAGTGATCAATAACGGGCCTGGTACGGGGGAGACACTCCTAGGGTGTATTCATAGCTGTCACCAGCTGTTACTGCCAAACCAGAAACACATAGCTCCTCCTGGTGGGTCCCCAAGGGCTTTCCACCTAATCGGTCTTTGTGTTAGAGTTGGCTCCTCCGCCTTCCCCGCCCAACTGCCTGGCGTTCTCCGGTGGCGACGACTTCGCGTCTGGACAAAAGCGTGAGAGCGAGGCTCTGGTCCCCCTCTCCCCGGTTCCTGGGCAGGTGGATGCGGAGAGGACCCTCTGCTCCTAGTGGACCCCGCGGGCCTCTTCAGTCTTGATTTGGCAGGAAGTTCTGCCAGACACAGTCCCATACAATCACATCCTGGGGGTGGGGTGTGATTTCGACATATTCTAATATTTTGACCTCTCGTTCCATGATTTTCCTTCCTATCTGTTGACATTTCTTGAATATTCTCAGTCCAGTTCAAACGTGGCTCTGTTAAGAGGCGGTGAAGTAAATGCAATGCACTAGCCTTTCTCAAAAGCCGTTTACAAACGCGAGCCTTCCCCTGAATTTCCTGTAGTACTACTTCTACTACTCAAAACCGAACGCACTGAGTCAAAGCGACCCTTCACGACAGGGTGGAATGGCCCCTGTCAACCTCCGAGACTGGGACTACCCAGAGGTTACTCGCAGCATGCTGACTCCGGAGGAGGCTTCGGGTATAAGTCAAAGCGGTGCTTTCTGTCTCCCGCGTTCTGCTGTGGCCGCCGGTGAGATAACTGCAAATAGTCAATTGCCCGCACGTGCCAGACATTCTGGGAGAGAGGTATACAAAAAAGAGTACTGTCACAAACAGACGTCTTTACGAAACAAAAACATAAAACCAGGGAGCTATTGTTTTTCACCCGACCCTCCACCCAGGTCTAGTCTCTTCTGAAGGCAGCCTTTCCATCTCTCTAGCTTTTCCTGGCAGGTATTCTGTGCAATGCAAGCGACTCAAATAGTGTTCTTTTGAGTTTTCGGAACCAAAAGAAGCCTGAAGGAGCAAGATCAGGGGTGTAGGGTGGATGGGGGTAAGATTTTTGATGGAAATTCTTGAAAGAATGAGCAGGTCTATGGTGATGGGGGAAAAATTCCTTAGAGTTCTGGTCTTTTTCTCACCAAAACAACTTAAAATTTTCTTAACATCGTCACAATAAGCCCCCATGTCCTGCATTTTTTGACAAAATCTATTGAGTGTACTCCTTTGGAATCTCCCCTGCCCCCCAAACCATACCCTTCACACGGGACCTCTCTGCTTTGACGATAACTGGCCTAGCAGATCCCCCAGGGGGCTTAGCTGTTTGAAGCAACCCAGGCTGTTTCCATAAAGATGTAAAGCCTCAGGACCCCTAAGGGGCAGTTCTGCCCTGTCCTGCAGTGTTGCTATGCATCAAATTACCTCAATGGCAGGATTTTTTTAGTTTTTTTTTTTTGTAAACAGATCTCCTTGGAAGCCACTGTTTTGATTAGACTTTTTTTAAATTATTATTAACAACACCCTGCCAAGACGAAGACACGGCTCTTACTGAGTGATCTTGTCTGCAGCCATTCACTGATCACAGAGACATGTTTAAACATGTTTTGCTTGGAATAAACCCATGCACGTGTAAACTAGATGCCTGGTAGCAACATTGTTTTACTTACTGGAGTATTTTAGCCGGCCAGTAATCCTGTAAGGGTGGGGATTTAGGACAGTGAATGAGTAAAAAGAGCTGGTAGGTAAAGGAGCTCAGGTGGCATAGAGATTACATACACGTGGCTGCTACCCACAGGTGACGATTTCCAAACCACTAGCAGTACTGCAGCAGAAAGACCAGGCTTTCTACTCTGGCAACGAGTTACCGTCTAGGAAACTGACAGGGGTATTCTACCGTCTGTTACTGGGTCGCTGTGAGTTGGAATTGATTTGATGGCAGTGAGTTTGGTTTGGGGTAAGTAATGGGAGGGGTCCCCAGAGTTCAACGGCTTCAGAGCGCAGCTGCTCACAGAAAGGTCCCTGGCTCAAACTCACCCAGCCACTCTGCTCAGGAGACAAAGCCCAGCTGTTTGATGATCTGTCCGCAGGAAGATGACAGCCTAGAAGGAGCATGTAGAACAGCTCTACTCGGCCACACAGGATTGTTGTGAGTTGAAAACTGACTGGAGGGCACAAGCCACAACAGCATAAACCCTGTGAAGGTTCTAGAGCCATTACCTGTCGGGTTTCAGGGCCCATGCAGTGAGCCACGATGCTAGACTGCCTCCCCTTCTCCAAGTTTACCGTTATATCGATCATATCCTCCCTCCACCCATCCGTTTTCTTTCTTTCTTTCTAACAATCTCCTTTCTCCCCCTACACAATTTTCATCTTAACGTTTTTTTTATTCGTGGCAGCTTTTCTAGGAGCCCCATTCTCTTTCCCTGACACTTTCTTTGCTGATACAACTCGGATTTAGTGGCTGGTTGCATCATTTCCCTGGGGCTGACATGGGGGCTTATAGCATCCCCGAGGAGAAAGCAGCGGTGTTACCCAAATAGGGGCCATTGTGTCTACTGGGAGGATGGGCACATTTCATGATAAAGTTCAGAGCTAGTCCTTCCTTCCTAGCTCATTGCCACCTCTCCCATCCCTTCTTCAAGTTCAGACGCTTCCATGTGGCCTCCTAGACCTCTGATTTTTATGAAGTAATTGCTGTCTACCCAAAGTGCTAGGTTACTACTAATGGCCACTCTTTGCTCTCCTATTCTGAGGATCGTTTTAGCCTTGGACTTGAGTCAGGAATATCTTTGAGTTATAAGCAAAATAAAACAAAACCTAAACTGGTTTAGGTATAAACAGGGATTTGAACATTAACTGCAGAGTCCAGGGGTCAGATAGGCTTCAGGCAATCTTTAGACTATTGCTTAAGGGATGGCTTCGTGACCCAGTACTCCACCACTGTCTCTCTGCTCAGTCTCCACAGTATTACCTCAAACTAACTTTGGACTCCGAATGGAGAGCTCACATGGCAATAGTGGCGATACAGGGGAGACTGAGCAGAGAAACAGTGGTGGCATACTGGGTCATAATGCCCAAAGGTAGGTGGCAAGTTGACTGCCTGCTTTCTGGATCAGTTTCAGAGAGGACCACAGACTTGTTAAGGATTCCATTTTGTGCCCCCCCCACCTCCTCGACCCAGGAAAGCATGGATGTGAAACCACATGATGATCTCCAAGAAATTCCATGACCACAGATGTTGAAGAAAGACAAGGCCCTTCCTCCTAAGCGATGAGCTGACACATAGAGATAGCCTTCCCCTAAAACTGGCACCTTAAACAGTGAGAGACTAGATTTTGTTTGTTAAATCCCTCTACTTGTAGTTATTTCTGGTACAGCAATCTTAGATAACACAGGACAAGGTAAAAAAATTATTTTCTTAGGAATAACCAACAGCCCCGCATTCCCCCCTCTACCTCCCCCCAAACAAAACCCAAACCCCAAAACAATCTAAACCTGGATGTTATAAACTAGAACCATTCCATTGGATTTCCTTGGCTGTGATCTTTATAGAAGTAGATTGCCAGCACTTCCTTCTGTTTTGCTTCTAGGTGGGTTGAAATCACCAATCTATTGGTTAGTAGTTGAACCCAAACCATTTGTGGCACAGAGCGATCTACCATGTTATTGCTGTTGTCAGTTGCTGTAGAGACAACTCCGACCCAGAGACCCCGTGTGCAACAACAAAACACTTCCTGGCCCTTGGACATCCTCACAGTTGTGATTGTGTTTGAGCCCATTGTTGTAACCACAATCACAATCTATCGTGTTGAGGGTCTCTCTCTTTTTGCTGACCCCTCTATTTTACCAAACATGAGGTTTCTTCTCCAAGAACATCAGGTTACCAGTCATCCTTAAATGTTACTGTCATCATATGTCTCCTTCAGCGACTCCCCAATTTTTTGCATCCTCTTCCCCTCCAGGCACCTCCAGTCCCTGGTAACACTTGCACATCTGAATATACCCAGGCTGGAGCTGACCAGATGCATGGCCACTGCTTGGTTTTCTGAGGGGTGAGGGCATCAATAGTTTAACACAGTGGTTATCCATTTCTTGGCATATCTGTTGGGAAGCTCTGGTCTATAAAATGAAGATTCAAATGTTATTTTCTAGTTCTTCTGAATCCGACTCAAATTTTCACTTTATTCAATTTAAAAATAATTATTGCTTTCCACAATGAACAGGCAACTAATTGGCACTAATCCTCCCCTCTCCCACGCCCCAAACCCACTACCATTAAGTTGAATCAAACTCAAAGTGATACATTTACACAAGGTTTCCTGTCTTGTAGCTGTCTGTGAGCCTCATCTTTCTTCGACAGTGCTTAGTGGGCTTGAACCTCTGACC